TTGAAGTTAAAAAATTTATCATCCATGTACAATCTTGACAAGAAATTAGGAAAGTGTGAGAAAGACCCTCTTTTTTATTAATGTCATGTATAATATTGATTGACGCATAACATTCTGGGCATCTTCCAACTGTTTTCAACAAACTTGAAAATAAATTTGAGTTTATAATTATATTACACTCTTTTTCTATATAATCAAAGTTTTCTATATCTAAAAGAGACAAGTTTATTTTTTTTCCAGATGCCGATCCACTTACATTGCTTGGTAAATGTGGAGACAAAACAGTTTGTTGTAAAGCATTTGAATTATTTAGGGAATCTTTTTCTAATTTATGAAACTTTCTTTTCTTTGCTCTTGATTTAGCATATCTTTTTTTGAACCCATTTATCAGACAACTAATCAAAATTATCCATCAATCAAAGAAAAATTTATAAAAGGATAATTATCTATATATTACAGAAACAAATATGAGGTTTCAATTTATGGATATTAGATCGAAAACTAACAAGAGTTCTTAACCTCTTATAGCCCACTTTATTTTTTTGTCGTGTAAAAAATATACTTTTTTGAATTTTAGTCACTTATCATCTTACAATAATGAAATTTTAAAAAACAAATTTTTTATATTTTTGGGGCCAATTTGGGGTTCGTTGCTTCCAGGCAACAACAAACGCATAAAGTACTAATTTTTTTATTATAACACAATATTAATTTACATGAAAAACCCAAGTTTTTTATCTTTTCTGATTTTACATCTTATTAAGAGAAGTGTATTTGAAATTTAGGATTCAAGGAAAGTTTTAAAACAGTTGGATGTCGGCGTAAAACAGAGACGGACATCACACTTGGAACACTTTATCTTAGGGAAACTATTACAACCAGGATATCTACATCTCCCTTTTTTTATCTTTGTACTCTGACCAATGTTCATACCCATCATTTCTAATAAGCTTGTTTAGAATTGGCGCTGCAGGACCTCTTTTCTTCTTCTCATTATAGATCAGATCAACTGATGTTGAAGATCATTTTTTTTCTGATTAACCATTTTCCTTGCATAATCAATGATTCGGCAATCGACAACTTGAAAGATTTTCACGACATTACTTTTTTTATCGTTTGCTGAATCTTTTTTATACATTATCCATGCTTGGACTGAAGAAACATCAAGAAAATGCCAGATTAGCCAATGATACCACTTTTTCGAATGAACAGGAATGCGATAGTAGCTCAATAGTCCATCTAAGAGATCAACATCTCCCATGCATTTGTTATAAGTGACAATTGCAGAGGGACAATTAACCAAAACCTCCTTTTTTTCTTTTTTATCCCATCTTCTTACTTGAGTTGTTGGAACTACTGACTCATAGGTTGTAAGGATGTTAACAGATCTATTATCAAACCATTTAATTGCACGAAGCTCAACACCATCATTTTGGCAAGTTTTAATTTCAACTGAGCCTCTTCCTTTCTTTTTCATATCTTTGTCAGTTGACATTTTGCAATTAGTGATCCTGTTTGGTCGAACAGTCCCAACTAAATTTATTAAATTATACCTAAAAGAATGTTGTTTATTAAACAAACTCGATATAATTTACATTTAATTTTAATTCCATTTATGCGAAATGTTGCCTTAAGTCAACAAAACGTGTTGCCAAACAAAAAGTTGCGTTTTGATTTTTTAAGCAGATATGAGCAATGTTGCTTTAAAGCAACGAGGTTAAGGAACAATTTAGTCATAAGCACACAAAAAAAGCATATAAATTGAACTTTTATTTTTCAAGTTATAGCAAGAAATGTATCTCTAAGAACAGTTGCTTAGGCAATTAATTTTCCAGTACCAAATTATTAAGGATAGTTTAGGCCTTTTGATTATTTTATTTTTTATTTTTTTTGAATTATTATAAGAGATCAATGAATGATTAATGAATGAAAATTGTTAAAAAAAAAAATTTTGAAAAAAAAAAATTTAGCCTGCTTTTTGGGGTACTACCACCTTAAACGAATTAGATCATTTAATTTAACTAATTTTAAAATTTTTATAAATTAAATCCTTTAATAAATGATAACATAAAAAAAAGCTGTTTTATTAAATGAATCTATCAAACGGCCGTATTTATTATTTCAGAATAAAAACTGTTTGATTCAAAGTAGGAAATTCAACTTTCCTTCAGTATTTTCTTTCCTTCAGTATTTTTCCTTCAGTATTTTCTTAACTTAACAATTCTTTCCTTCAGTATTTTCATAACTTTATTTGACACGAACAACTTTCTAACTAAAGTATATATTTTTTAAAGTTGCAGTTTTTTCAGTTTCTTATTTGAGTGGGAGAAACAAATCCGATTTAATTTTCAAAGTTATGCCACTTTTCACTTATTTTTTATCAATTTTTAAGATCTGATTTCAAAGCCCTTAATTGTCTTTTAATTTTATGAGTATTACTAATAAATTTGTTCAACTATCCGGTCACTACTGAGCAGTATAAAAGGATATACTTTTCTATATATATATATATTAGTCTTCGTATATTGCAAGGAGTGCGGCTACATTGACTAAGGGTTTGGTATGGGAAAGCAATCTTACAAAGTCTCTACTGACAAAGGCGCAGTAAGCAAAATAATAAAATTATTATAAGCTGTTTAACTTTACGATTACCAAAAAAATGATCTGAGATATCGTTATTTATTTGTTTAAAAAGTTTTACTAAACAAATCATCGGCTATTTTATTATCAATATAAAAAGCTGTTGCTAAAAGTGGTACTCTGTGGTGCCAAAAACTGGAGGGAGTCATAACAAGCGGTATATGAATAAATAGGGAGGGAAGAGGAAGGGATAGTTAATAAACGGGAGTCTTTTTCAAAGTAATTATAAAAAAGAGAAGAGATCTTAAGGTGGCTTCACAAGAAATGTTTTTTTTTTTTTAGTAAAATAACTTAAATCAATTCTAAAATCAGTTTTGTAAAATTAATTTAATGAAAATAATAACAAATATGAAAGTTTATTAAAAAAAAAAAGAAGAGGATTTTTTTAATAGAAAACGCTCAAAAAAGCATATTTCATTTTAGTTATCAAAACACGATTATTCCAAAATGGCTAATTAAAACAACTTGGTACTTTGCAATATTATTTTCTGATATATGAGGAAGAGGGTGAATTAAGATCATAATATAAAAACAAAAATATTTCTTTTAAGTTCCAAAAAACTGAAAATTGACTAATTTCTAGGGGGGTAAGGTTCAAAAAAGACTTAGCAATCAATAAATAATCATTCAATTATCAAGATTTTAGTTCATTCTCTGCATATATATGTATTGAACAATTGGGGAAAATTTGGAGATCTAAGCATTTTTTAATGTTGAGATATCGTGTTTTGAGTTCATAAATTATGTTAAAATCTTCATTTTTAGATAAAAGGCAAATAAGTAAAAAAAGTTTAAAAAATATCCTTTCTTGTAGATATATTTGGACAACTGTTCTTGATATTTATCAATCCAACCTTTCCTAGTTCCTCTAAACTCTTTTCTTCTTTTTTTTTTTTTTTTTTTTTTGTGGTTGTCCTTTTTTCACCATATTCTCTAACCGCTTTTGGTCTTTTTTTGAACTGTTTATTGTATTTTTTCTAAAGTCTAGATTTAAATGTTTAAATACACAATAAATACCAAATGAACCTTCATTAAAAGAAAGAACCGCTGAGTTTACTCCCATTCAAAAACATTTGTCTTTACATAAACATTTTAAGGACTTCATGACCAGATAATATTATTTAGTCCTACATTACAATTTTAAGTTCATGAAGACATTTTTTCAATAAATTGTTGTTACTTAATTCATCAAAGTCTTTCTTGATAATTTCATAAATCCATTCAGGCAAGTTTAATTTAGGAGAATAGTTTTCATCTGCATCTGCATTTTTACTTTTTATGATGTAATGTTACCTAGAGTTATGAGTTATGTTATTATAGAGTTTTTGTTTTATTATTGTTTATTTTACTTTGTTTTATTGCAGTTATATTACTGCGTACAAATTGAGTTATGTTATCTTGTTATCTTAAGTTGAGTTCAAGTATTCTTATAATTACCCATTGTGTATTTAACTTATTAACCTAAAAGAATATTTCAGGTAAACATTTTATCAACACAACTTGTGTTATTATAATAGTTTTGTCACAAGAAGTAAGTAATCAAACGATCGTTTTACTTATTGAAATAATCCAATTTCAATAAGTTAAACGGTTTTATTTTTAAAACTGAACATAGTTAGCCTCTAAACTAAATCTTTTATTATTGCAAAACACGAAAACATATTAAAACAGTGGTTGAATACAAGTTTTCATATTGCTTTTTCAGTTGCTATGGGGGTTGATAAGAAAGCTACTTCATATCATACCTGACAAAATACAAAACAGTAGCTTATAAAATTGAAATTAAATACAAAACAGTAGCTTATAAAATAAATTTTACCTTATTATTTTACTTTTTTTTATCTAACCAATATTTTCTCATATTTGTAAAGTTTGATATCATAGTGAAAAACATATGCGTAATATACATAAAATGATATGCATATGTACGATGAACCCTATCCTACCTTAAGAGAAAGATACAAAATACTTTTAATAGGTGTTCTTCCCTACTCCTTGTAAATGCTAAAAAAATATATGCAATGTTTTTCAAAAAGAGCTGTTAATAAAATTTTTTACTTAAAAACAAAAATTTTTTAAATGTGGGCCAGATTTTTAAGCTACTCTGCTCCAGTGAGAGCCACAGCTACTACACTAATTAACAATGCTTCATGTGATTAGTACGCTGATGTCTTTGATGTTTAGAAATTAAACAATTTAAATATAAAAAAATTTCGAATTTAAGACCTAAATTTTTTAGCCTAAAATAACAGCAACTACAAAAACAACAAAACAAAACAAAGTTTATTATATATATATATATATTATTTTTTGATACAAAAATTATATATATATATAATAAATTGAGGAACAAAACTCACATTTGCATCCGTTTATATCATCGTTTCGTAGATCGTAATATCCATCTTTGCATCTTGTACAGTCACGTAGTTTTACATTGCTTTTACATGGGCATTGGCCAAAAAAATCCTGAAAAAAAACAAAGGTAAATTTTTAAATTTATTTTTGCGATGATAATTATTTAGATACATAAACTACGTTTACCATTTTTTAAATGAATATATAACTTTTTCTTTTAAATTTTAACTTTGATTTTTATTTTGTGGAGAATACCACTTCCGACAAAAGAAGTGGTCATGATCATGACAAAAGTCATGGTCTAACTTTAATTGAATTAGAAGAGAGAAATAATAAAGAGTATATATTTATAAAATATAAAATACTGGTTTTATTAAATAACTTAATACAATAGTTTATAGTTTTGAAAAATAAAGTAAGCAACACTTATGTTTATAACTGTTTCTTCCCCTAGTACGCATGCACTTTTTGTAGAACTGTACTTAGGGAATGGCCGGGCTAATTAAGCACTTTATACTGATTCTAACTGATCTCTTAAACAAAGCGTCAGTTTAAAAAAATTTTAATTATGAGAGAAAAAGCTAAAAATTGGATAGGAAAAAAATCTTCGTTTAGATTAATTTACAACAAAGTTTTGCTATGTTTGCTTAACCTGTCGACTGGGACAGCTGTCCCAGAGGGGTAAGTTAGTAGCTGTATGGGAGCGATTTGAGCATTATACAAATGAGTGCATTGCACGGTATGAAATTTTAATAGATTTTGAACAAAACTGCTTACACAACTTATTTATTTTAATGACTTTAGTAATTTCAATTAAATTGTTTCAATATAAAGAAACAAAATTTAAATATTATTAAATCATCATAACATATAAAAAAAATAATTTGCATGCTAATACGTTGAATTTTAAAACCCTATATGTTAATTTAGTGTTTGTTTATATATATATATATATATATATATATATATATATATATATATATATATATATATATATATATATATATATATATATATATATATATATATATATATATATATATACATATATATATATAATTATATTTTATTTAGATGATTAAAAACAACTGATAAGCGGGACTTAAAGTTTCATGCCTCAAGGCAATCATCAGCCGTTAATACCGTCTTAATAGCCGTTAATACCGTATTAATCATCATGAAAAAAAAGTTTCATCATGGCATGAAACTTTAAGTCCCTCTTATCAGTTGTTTTTATTCATCTAAATAAAATATAATTATATATAGCTCTATTATTCAGTAATATTGAGCACTGTAACACGAGCAAGAGACTTCGTATTACTACATCAAACTACTTACCTCGAATATATTCTATATATCGGTATCTATACAAATATATATATATATATATATATATATATATATATATATATATATATATATATATATATATATATACACATATATATATACTTATATCAAATAATGAGACTGCAAAGTTCGCAATTTTATTAGAGTTCTCAGCCTCCAATCAAATTGCGATGATTGGAGGCTGAGAACGAAAAGGCCCTTTGACTTTATCCCTCCACCCCAAACGTGAAGGGCAATAAGTTGATAAAATATTTTCTGTACTATTCTCAACTAGACTTAAATTCAATGATAAATTTTAAGTTTCATAGTATTATCATTTAGCGCTCAAAAATTATGGCCTCAAACACCAAAAAATCCTGGATTCGTCACTGAGTAGAAAGTGAAACTACGTTTGTGGCTTGCTGTTTCTTTTGAAAAAAAGGGTAAAATTGACAATAATGAAAAGAAACTTTTATAAATATAATAGAATTAAAAAAGCGCTTTGATCAGTTACATATTCTATCAAAAAATTGTTTGTGTACCACTATAGAACCTACTATCCATGAAATTCTACATACCATGAAACCTACACAAGAAAAAATTTGAACACCAAATAAATTATTTTGATACTCAAATTTTTTTTATTATTCAAAAAAATTTGAATATCAAAATAACTTTTGAATATAGATAAAGAACTACTGACATTTATAAAGAGCAGTTATATAGGAAAAGAAAAAGAATCTAGATTTTCACGGCTATATCAACGCCACAAGACAAGGTAAAATGTTGAAAAATAGCGTAAAGGTCCTTTTGATTTACTAAACTTTATTTAACAGTATAAATTAAAAATTCTGAACCTAGACTTATTTTTGTTAAAATAAATTTCAACAGTAAATATCAGTGTTATTGATTGGCGCCTGCAACTAATGGTCTACTTAATAACCGATGAGCAAAACTGCACTGGACCACTCAAAATGACCTATATTAGCGATAAAATTTTACATAAAAATGGATATTACAATAAAAAGCATCGAAAAAATTATCACAAAACAACTCGAGGAACACAAAAAAAGTATTTTTAAAGAAACTGAACGACTACTTAAAGAGCAAGAAAAATCATTTACTTTAATAATGAGTGCAAACCTCAAAATTATAACTGATAGACTAGACACAATAGAGAAAGACAACAACAACAACAAGTCAAAAATAAAGAATATCGAAAAAGACCTGAACGAAATAAAGGACAGCCTCAGTTTTCAAGAGAATAAAACTTTAGAAAACATTTCACACTTAAAAAAATATTATGACAATCAAATAAATACATTATATAAAAAGTCAATAGACTTGGAAAATCGTTCCAGAAGAAATAATCTAAGAATAGATGGACTAAAAGAGTCTCCAGGAGAAAGCTGGGATGATTGTGAAAAAGAGGTAAAAAAATTCTTTAATAATCAATTAAAAATACCAAGGGAAGTCGTAATAGAAAGAGCACATCGCATCGGTCAAAAGAAAGATAATAAACCAAGAACAATAGTTTTAAAACTCCTGAACTTCCACGACAAAAACAAAATACTCAACTCATTAACTCATCTTAAAGGAACTGGCATTTACATAAACGAAGATTTTGCCCAAGAAACTATCGAACATCGAAGGAAGCTTTGGGAAGAAGTGAAAAAATTACGTAGCGAAAGTAAATACGCTATTTTAAAGTATGATAAAATTTTTAGTCGAGATTTTAAAAATACGCGCTTTCAAAAATAACTTTACTCAAATCGAATTCTATTTAAAAAAAAAAACTTGATTAAATTCTTTTTTCGTCATGGCTAATGATTTTATAACAAAAGATTTTGATAAGTTGCGTTTTGACTTTTTTAAAACTAAAAATAATATCTTTGCGAATGATTTATACGACGATGATTTATTTATTTTTAATGGACCTGACTCTCCATACTTTGATACTACAACTTTTAAAGCTGAACTTCATAACAATATAGACGAGTTTACGGTAATACACATAAACATCAGGAGCTTAAATACAAATATCGATAAGTTAAAAACTTTCCTTTTCGAATGCAAATATTCCTTTAGCATGATTTGTCTTACAGAAACTTGGTGTTCTGACGAAAATTCTTATACAAATTCAAACCTCCTAATCCCTAATTATAATCTTATTTCTTATGAAAGAAAAGCTAACAAAAGAGGAGGTGGAATAATAACCTACATCCATAATGACTTAAACACAAAAATTAGAAATGATCTTTCTATTTCTGATTCAAATAGTGAGGTCTTTACAGTTGAAGTAATTAATGATACTACAAAAAATCTCTTAATATCCTCTTGTTATAGACCGCCCGATGGAGATATTATAATGTTTTCAAGTTTTATGAAACAAATATATACAAAAAGCAATGTTGAACATAAAAAGCTATTCTGTATTGGTGACATGAACATAAATTGCCTAAGCTATCATGAACACGCTAATACCAAAATTTTTTTTGATGATATGATACAACATTACATTTTCCCAATTATAAACAAACCCACCCGGGTAACTCCCACCTCAATTACAGCTATTGACAATATATTGACAAATTCAATTCAAGATCCATCCTTAAAAGTAGGAATAATTAAAACGAATATATATCTGACCACTTCCCAATTTACTTCTCACTATCACAACAAGCAACATGTGTCAACTTGAAAATTAAAATCATCAAAAGAAGCATAAATAAATTCTCGACCCAAAAACTAAAAGACTCACTAGCGGTAGTAAATTGGTCAAAAATATATCACGAATGTAACCGAGGACGCACAAATTCCGCATACAATAAGTTTTTAAATATTTTCCTAAATCTCTACAATAAACATTTTCCAAAGGTCGAAAAAGAAGTTAAAGCAAAATACCTAACCACTCCATGGATTACCAAAGGAATAAGAAAATCCTCAAAACAAAAACTCTACATAAAATATCTAAAAAATAGAAACGATATTAATTTGTCTAAGTATAAACAATATAAAAATCTATTTGAAAAAATAAAATTGAAATCCAAAAAACTATATTTTTCAAAGCAAATACAAAAATTTAAAGGAGATAATAAAAAAATCTGGGATATCATAAAAGAAATAATTGGTAAAGATAAAAAAAACTCGAACCAACTACCTCCAAAAGTTCTCATAAGTGAAAAAGAGTTTAATAATAAAAAAATTATCTCTGAAAAATTTAACAAACACTTTGCAAGTTTAGGTTCCAAACTCGCCTCTAAAATTCAACCTACAAACAATTCATTTGAGAATTACATCGAGGACTCTCGTTGCTCCCTAGTTTTTAAAGAACTAGAATACGAAGAACTTAAAACAGCAATTAAAACATTAAAAATTAACAAAGGTCCAGGTATCGACAATATCCCAGCCAATATTATTTTGAATGTCTTCCCAGAAATAAGTAAACCCATTTTGCAAATATTTAACTCTTCAATAATTACAGGAATTGTACCCGACTATTTAAAAATAGCTAAAATTATTCCTATCTATAAATCCGGAGATACATCTTCCTTAAATAATTACAGACCAATATCAATCCTTCCCGTATTTTCAAAACTGCTCGAACGAATAATCTACAATCGTTTATATAAATACCTAACCACAAACAAAATCCTGAATGAAAACCAATATGGTTTTCAAACTCAGCACTCGACAGAGCATGCTATCGTAGACCTAGTCAATAGAATTAGTGAATCAATCTATGAAAAGAAGTTCGTATTAGGAGTCTTTGTAGACTTGTCAAAAGCGTTCGACACAATAAATCATGAAATCCTACTAAAAAAGTTGGAAAAATACGGATTAAAAAGCCAAACACTGCAGTGGTTTAAAAGTTACCTGTATAACAGACAACAGTGTATTATTACAGATAATAATTACCACAGTAAATTATTAAAATTAACTTGTGGTGTTCCTCAAGGTTCGATTCTTGCTCCTCTTTTGTTCCTAATCTATATAAACGACCTTCCAAAAGTTTCTAGCAAACTTGAATTTATAATGTTTGCAGACGATACAAATTTATTTTACTCTTCGACAAACATCAAGGATCTGTATGATAATGTAAACATAAAACTCCAAAAATTAAATATATGGTTTAAAACAAATAAGTTATCCCTAAACATAGAAAAAACAAAATACACTTTATTTCACTCAAACCAACAAAGAAACACACTACCAAATATTCTACCCTCTCTAAAAATAGAAAATATAGTAATTGAGAGAACTTACGAAACTAAATTTTTAGGAGTTATAATTGATGAAAATTTATCTTGGAAAAGTCACATAAATGCTTTAAACACTAAAATATCAAAAAACATAGGTCTACTTTATAAAGCAAAACCTATGCTGTCGCAAAGTGATTTAAAACTTATATATTTCTCTTTTATACGTAGCTACCTCATATATGCGAATATAGCTTGGGCGAGTACGCATTTAACCAAATTGAAAACTTTATATCGACGTCATAAACATGCTGTTAGACTAATCTACCATAAAGACAAATTTACACACACTGAACCCTTATTTAAAGAAATGAATGTGCTTAATATTTATCAAATTAATATTTACCAAAATATATTGTTTATGCTAAAATTTAAATTAGGTCAATACCAACCCATTTTTTAAATAACTTTTTTATAAATAACGTTAATAAATATAACACAAGAGAAAAAGGAAACTTTATTACACCTTTCAAAAAAACAAAACTTTCCCAGTTCTCAATTTCATTTCGGGGTCCTTATTTATACAACAAACTACTAACTAAAAATAAATCAATTTGCAATCTAGATTCAATTTGCAATCAAAATTCCTTGAAAAAAAAGTTAAAAAATCTGATACTGAATCTAAACAGATACTCAGAATTCTTCTAAGACTATAAATTAAAATACATATATATCAACTACAAAGTGAACTGACTCGTTTATGTGTATTATCTAAATGACTCTTACTTTTCTCAAACAATATATCAAAAATTGTTTATTACACACAAAAAAAACACTTGATTTTTTCTTATCAAGTTTAGTTATTAATCTGCTTGTTATGTCTAATATTTTATACTGAGCTTATTTTGAGTTTATTTTTTATTATGAGCTTAATTTAAAGAATATATAAATATAGTTGTACTTAATATATAATTATATTTAACATAATCATAATATATATCAAACACATTGTAAGGGCTTCGTGATAAGATCATTACGATCTTCTTGAAGTCCGGCCTGTACTATTTAATTATAAATTTCACTATATATTTTGACTCGAGAGACTTATAATTTTGACTAATATTAAAACTTTTAATTTACGAAACGTGTAAATGTTATATGTACGGCAAATATATGAATAAAAAAAATATATATATAGGTCCACTGAAATTTCGCTATAGAATGTTCGTTGGAACTGAATATACTTTATAAAACTTTTTATTATTTATGTTGTATAACTTAAGCCTAAAGATACTTTAACATTTTCAATTTTTGAAGTATACTAAGTTACGTCTTGTTTCAGAAGTTGGATGATTTTTTTTCGTGTAACAAATCTTTATTTTGCTGTAAATTTTAAAAGTTACACTTACTCTAGAATTCGGCAACTAAATTTATTTAATTGCTTTAACCATTAACCATTGTTAAACACTTAAAATTCGTGATTAAATCTTGAATTTAACTTCTATTCATCAAAAATTCAAATGGCTTCTTCATGCATCCTTCAAAAAAGTTTCCTAAGAAATTTTATAACTTTTTTTTTAATTTTGTTTTTTTAAATGCCCCAAGAAGTCCTTACGGTTTTATCACAGAGCACCGCAGAAGCGCATTTAATAGGAAGTTTACGCTTCCTCCAAAACGATGTAGAAGAACTCGCCCATAGGTGGGGTTTGAACCACGGATTCTTTGTTTTTGAGGCAAGTGAGCTACCACTGCGCAACGACTTCTGTATTTTTTAAAATTAATTTAAAGCAGCCGTAGCGCAGTGGTTGAAGCGCTTGTTTTGGAACTAAAATAACCAAACTTTTCATACCCAGGGTTTTATACACGTTCTGAGTATGAAAGCAGCGTCAATGTAGAAATTGCGTCGTGCTCTGTAATAAAATCTTTTTTTCTTGGAGCACATAAATAACAAGAAAAAAAGAGATTTTTTCTTTAGATTTAAAATTTTATCTAAAAATTGTTATTATAAATGTGATACTATTGCATATAATTGTTACTGCTTTTGAAAAATTACTGTTGCTGTTAATATTGCCTTGTTTACTAAAAACTACTCTTAAATTGTGTTGCTTTTTTCGGCTGTCGGATATTTATCATTTAACGATGGCTGTTTCAGAAAAAGTTATTTTTGCGTGCATTTAAACTATCCATCAAGTGTGCAGTTATGTAAAACTTCTTAAAAATTTAACTGGAAAAACTTTTTTTGTACGTTTGGCAATGTTAAACCAATGAACCCATCATGGCAACAGTTTCTATGTTTACGTTGTGTTGGTTTTAATCACGCAAATTTGGCTGAAATAAAATTTTAACGTTTTGGTTTATGTTAATTAAGTTTGTTATACAGTTTTCATATACGCTAAATATTTTGACGCTTAGAGATACGTCAGAGTATAAAGAGAAGAGGGAATTAGCAGGTTCTTAGAATATAAAATGCTTTCTTTGACAGAATATTTTCATAAAAATAAAGCATACGCCGATTATGAACCGGAGATTAGTAACAATTCAATGTATTCTATTCGTTTTTTCATCATATTGCTAATTGTATGGAGTTTATCATTCTTTCTTGCTTTTACTGCTTTATCGAAAATAACATCTTTTAGAAACGCGCTATTGGAAAATATTTTGCCAGCAAAAGCAAACGGGTTTCCCGTTGACTTGGTGGATGACTTTTAGTAAGTTATAGTTTATATTAGAATTAAATTTGATTAGTTCTATCTAAACGGTAATAAATGCAAAAAAAAAGATTTTAAAAAATCTTTTTATATTTAAAACTATAAATCAAGTTTAACTTTTTTTTTTAATTTTTAAAATAAATTTATTTAATTTTTTTTTATTCCATAACTTTGTGTTATAAAGTCTTTTTCGGCACATTTTACAATATCTTGCTACTTTATAAAAATATTTAGAATGGCGCTTTTTTATTTTGCAGTAGTGCCCTTAGAGATATGCAGATAAACAAAAACGTTTTATCAAACATAAGCAAAAGTCTGTTGGAAATTTCAGATGAAACGCTAAATATCACCAGAGAAAGGTACATTAAAATTGTATATTCATCTATGTATATATATATATATATATATATATATATATATATATATATATATATATATATATATATATATATATATATATATATATATATATATATATATATATATATATATATATATATATATATATATATATATATATATATATATATATATATGACACATGTATATATGTTTAGACAATGCAGTCCAGATAAAAATATAGTGTTTCTTAAAACTCATAAAACTGCCAGCAGCACAGTCACAAATATACTAAATAGGTACGCGGACTTACACGAGCTTACTGTAGCTTTACCAAGCATGGACAATACAAGGTTTGATTGGCCGCGTAAATTTCATTGGTCAAGCGTAGATTTACAAAGGTTAGATGGTACTCCGGCAAATATTCTATCAAACCATGCAAGGTAATTGTACTAAATATTTAAAAATTCATTTGATGTGGTTAAACTTTGTAGAAACACTAGATCAATTTTATAAGTTAAGGCAAAATTTGATAAAAAGTTTAAAAAAAAAATTTATAAACAATATCGTTCTCGTGTTTTCAAGACTAAAGTTTCTATTTATTGCCTAAAGAAAAAAATAAACTGGTTTTTATTAAATATTAGGTATAATCGAGACCAAATGAAATTAATAATGGAAGATAACTCCAAATATATCAGTATTATTAGAGATCCAGTCAGCCAGTTTGAGAGCTCGTTTTACTATTTTGAGTTTGATAAAATTCTTGGCTTGAGTAAAATCCCGAATCCAATTGAAGAGTTTTTAAAGTATCCCGACGAGTATTTGTATAATTTTACTATTCTCATGGGTGATCTTCCTGATACATTAAACTTACTTCAATCAGGAATGTTTTATGATTTTGGATACGACTTCATGGACTTGGAGGATACTAAAGGAATTCAGAGGGTATTAAAGACATTAGAAAACGAGTTTCAACTTATTCTTATTACAGAATATTTTGACGAAAGTCTTGTATTACTTAAAAAAGAGTTATGTTGGCAAACCGACGACATTTTGTATATAAAACAAAACCAAAGGTTAAAAAAAGGAAACCTAACAGCTCATACAAAACAAAGAATTCAGCAGTGGAACCGAGCTGACGTAATGCTTTATCAGCACTTTAATGAAACCTTTTGGAGAAAAATTAAAGATTATGGAGATTCTTTTTGGGAAGATGTTAATGAGTTCAAAAAAGAAAATAAAAAGTTTGAAAAAATATGCTCACCGGAAAAAATTACAACAAAAGGTTTTGGAATAAATGTCGACGTAAACAGTTTTGTGATGAACCCTAAAGTGGATCGTTTTCACAGATATCTATGTGAAAAAGTTCTCATGAACGAAGTAGAATATTTATCATACTTTAAAAAAAAGTTTGGAAAAAATTTTGGTTATCAAAATCTTTTAGTTGCTCAAGGTATGAAACCAATAGACAGAGAAAGAACGTTGCATTCAAGATTGAAAATAAAAAATGGACCTAAATTTTTCAAGTTGCCTATATCATCGCAAAAACAGGGTAGTAAATTAAACTTTACAGCAACGTCAGAGCTTAAGGCACAAATGAAATTAATTGAATAATATTTTAATTGTTAAAAAAATTTTTTTTTGTTACTGTTTCTATTTAACACTGCGTATTTACTAATTTTTTATATACCTTTTACATTCCGTATAACATTTTTATAACATAAGTTATCTTTAAATTTTTTTATAATATTTCTACTAAATGCAAACCCTCACCCCATCCTTCAGTGTCATCGGCTCTGAAATGTTATAAAAATTCCCTACTTTAGGTTTCTCCATTTTATAACGTCAATAGATGTTTTTATATCGTGGGGTTTTAAAGTAAAGCCTCACTTTCAAATAAAGCTAAATTTACTCAAAAAATTTTTATATTTTTAGTAATTTATTTTTTGATTATTATTTGAAATTTGAGGTTTTAGTTTAAACTACCTCTATTAAATAAAAAGTATTGATGCAACATGGCCTAATATATTATGTATATAGTAGGTCATGGATGAAAGTATATTAATAATTATAGTTGTATAAGCTTTGTTCATTTTTTTATATTGTTTATTTCTTCTGTGTAAACTCTTTTTAAATATTAACTTTTTTGTTTTTGTTGATTACATTGTAATTAGATATTTGATAAACTTTCTACTTATTATAATGTAATATATTTAAATTCAGAAATAAATTTTAGTTTCATCATGATTTTTATAAACTTACTTTGTGGCATAGATTAAACCTTTGAACTGTTCCGTCCAAATTGCACGCACAGGCTAAATTTTCAAATATATACATGTAATACATTATACATTATATAACATACATTATACATACATGTAAACATTATATAAGTAAATAAAAAATAAATATACAAAAAAATCTGTGATGAGTGCAATAGTAAAATAATAATTTTTAATAATTAAAGTAAAAAGAATTCCTTGAAACTACTTACGTCTGCAACCTAAAGGATTCGATTGTTCTAGTCTGTAAAATTGGTCTTTACACGTATCGCATTTCGCTCCAATAACGTTTGCTTTACAGAAGCAATCGCCAACATTCTAAGAAATGCAATGTCTTCAGTAAAATTTCTTAAAATATATACACTTAGAGATGAGAAATTTTGAATTTATTTTCTAAATGTTTGCAAGTATTTTAAAGATAAATAATTCAATTTTTAAAAAATTTTTCGATAAAAAAAAAAATTGTATTTAATGACCTTTCCAGCATATAAACTCATCATTGAAGAATCAGTAATACATTCAGCGAACTTTAGCATACTATTTCCAGGCTGGCTACCTTCTATCGAACACCCGCAAGCTAAACAAAATTGCACCTTAGTTAGTAGGGAAATTCAAACATATTTTTTAGAAAATGTTTGCTCGTGTTTAACTTAAAAGATGTTTCCATTTTAAAAATTTTACAATGCGAAGTACTATATTGAGAAAAACAAACCTAAGCAAATGTTTGGTGAATCTGGAGGTACATTTGATAGTCGGTAGTAAAATGGTTTACATTTTTCACAGTTGATTCCCATCGTGTTATGCTTAAATAAATAAACACAAAAAGTGTTCGCTTTGCGTTACAGTCAAATATACAAGATTGAGATTCGAGAATTTTTGTCAATATACTTTATTTATAAAAACTATAAAAACGAAAACATGTTAACTTTACTTGGCAGTTTTCGCAAACGCCTCCACCATAATATTCTCCATCATTGTTTAAACTTAAACGAGAATTAGCAACATCTTGACTGTATCGGCAGGAATTGCTGTGACCAAAGCAGTTACAAGCTAGATGAAATATAGTACTATACAAATAAAATCCAAGCTAAAAATTGTAACTGAATTGTAAAAGATAAAAAATTGCCTTTTCATTTTTAATATATTTTTTAAGGCAGAACAACGCTTCTTCAAGAACAACGCTGAACATTTAACGAGAAGATAAAAGTTTTTAAATTTATGTTAGAAAAATAATTCATCTCTACTGTTGTATATTTTTGCATATAAGTTATAACTTTCTAGCATACTATTTTTTAACTATGTGAATTTATTATCGGTATTTACTTACTAATCAAACAAAAATTATCTTAAATTATTTTCATCAAACAAGAATTATCTTCAATCACTGTCTTCATCAAAAAAAGAATTAATTAATTAATTACCAATCAAATAATAATTGTAATCAATCATTGTTTGATGGAAGCAATGAAACTTATTGCGAGTTCAACTTTAATCAAAATCATTCTTAAAATTAAAATAATTTTGTTTTTAAACGAGGAAAAGAATTGGAAAGACTATTTACTGTCAAACTACTAGTTATCCCCCCTCTCCCGGGGAGTGGGGATAGTTAGTATTAATTACTTTTAATTAGTTTAATTAAACTAATTAATTTAATTAATTAAATTAGTTAGATAATTAGGTGAGAGTCTCCCCTCCAAAAAAAACGTAATTAAAAGTCTATTGCGTAAATTATCAACTTTATAAACTTTTATTACCACTTTAAAAAAAAGATAAATTTTTTTAATTTTTTGGCCCAAATTGAAAAAAGTGCCCATACAACCACAACTATATAACCACATACAAGTACAACAACTTATGTTCTAGCTACGTTTATTAACCATCATGATTTCAAACATCATTTGTCTCAAAAGGTCTTAATATTAGTTCTTCCACTGTTCTAGTAATTTGTATTTACTTCTATAAAATGAATTCAGTGCTAGTTGAAATTTCTAATTTTAATAAATTTTGGTGTGCTCATAGAGACTGTAATAATAAATGCTAATCTTTAAAAATGAAAATTCAATAAATTTTTAAAATGAAATTTAAATTTATAAATATTCAATGTCAGGACAGATAAGAGATTTTAAAGAGTAACAAAATCAGTTAAGTAGTTAGACTTTGGCAATGCTAGTTTTCAAGTAAAATGGATATATGAGGAGCCCATTTGCAAAATACGCAAAAAATTTTAGCCGCAAACCACGCAAATCACAAAAAATTTCGTGTTAATTCCATGCCCACATTCTATATACTTAATCTATCATTTATTTAAATATAAGCTTTAATTACTTTCACTACTTTTTTTGTTATAAAAATAGACACACAAAAAAAATTCTGTTGATACGCAAGCTGTGTGTAGTTCAGTTTTTAATTGAATAGTTTTTAACTTAAACGTTGCTTCAACTCAAACACAATATACTAAGACTAAGCAAATGGGTTCCTTATATGGTTACTACGAGATATTAGTAATGAAGGATAATCCAAGTAGACAAAGTTGAAATAGTCACCATAACAACGAACTGCAGCCAATGTAGAATGTAAGCAATACAAATACCCAATCAGACTAAGTAAGCAAAATGTAATGACTTTTATTAAGACTGAAATATATGGTTGGTTATCAACAGAATTAAAATTGGTATTTATTTGTGGAATAAGTAAGAACTCAAAGTCCATACTCTTTCTTTTAATTTAAAATCCTTGCTAGTAAGATGCTTAAGTCTAATAAAAAAAAATCTTACATTTATAAATTTACATTTATAAATGTTAGATAATTAAAAATTTTTAGGGCCAATATTTTTTCAGATTATCTATGAATTAAAAATACTCACGCTGACACGACGTTGTGTTGTCGGAATTCCAAGCTGATTGAGTTCCTCGTACCCAAGGGTACTGATTGAAAGCCGGACAACACTTTTCGCAATTCGCACCACACGTATTATCAGAACAAATACAAGTCCTAAATCCAGTCACTGAGTCAACAGGGCAACTTAAACCATCACCATGACCATTGCAATCACAACGCGAAATTAACGAAATTTCACTGACCGAATAATGATGCTAAAAAGAAAATATAAACATTAAACCAGCAGTAATAAAACAGTTTTTGTATAGCTTTTCTACACAAAATTGACGCCATAATTACTAAACAAATAATGACAGGATTCAAGTTTCCTAACCCATCTTGTATCAATGTAGTCAAACTTTCTATACAATCCAGAAAAGCGAATATGCACGTTAGTTGTGTTCATCCACCTCTAATATTTATACAGAAAAACAAGAAATCGTTAGTTTCAATTTATTAATAAAAATAAAAATAAAAGTATTCGTTTTAATGTGTTAAACATTTGTTAAAAAATGCTATTAATATACTTTAATTTAAATGAAAGTCTTTTTATATTCATCGAATTAATAAAAAAATGCGCCAAATCACATACCAATAATTCTGGCGACTCGTAAGTATCAGAGCCATCTCCTCTCAGATCACCATTTAAGTCAATCATGACCTAAAGTTAATTTCAAAAGTTAATAATAATAAAAAACCATTTAAAAAACGTAAACAATAATAAGCGTAAAAATAATGAGGGGGAAGGGGGCTCGGACCTAGTAACTACAGCACTGCTCGTTGTTATTACTGCTTGCATTTTTCTAATTATAAGTTTTTCTAATTATCAATTTTTATATTTCATTTTCCCCAAAGATAAGTGTAGAAAGTGAAAATGAAACTTCACTTTAAACCCTTTAAAGTGAAGTTTCATAAAAAAAAATTAAAAAATATTTTTTGATTTGTGTATATTTGAATATATTATTCCAACTTTAGTTTAGATTTTATCTTTAAATATTTTCATCATTGTCGTCTCCAGTATATTTTCAATCGTTTTTTGTATATATTAACCGGTATTTTTAATAATTTTTGAAATTATCATACTTACTTCCTCATTGAATTCAAACGGATATCCTTTGTATTCCTGACACAAAACACGGTTTGTATTTTGGTCAGGCAGAACATATATTTCGCTTTCAGGTATTCCAAACACACTTGTGCATTGTTCTCTCAATGATACCATATAATGCCATGGATGATAAGTCTTACCAAAATCAGAAGACTTAAATATTGCAATTTGACCAGGTCGACGATAATAACCAAAGTTAAAAATCATTTGTTTTCCAAACACAGGCTGAAAAAATTAATGTGTATTATATTAGTGAATGTATATTATAAAAATATATTACAAAGTATATAAAACAAAATATTGTTTTTATGACTTTTTTAAAAATAGAAAATTTAAGACTATTCTACTAGGTCGTCCAATACCGGACCAAAATATAAATACCGGTTTTTCGGTATTAGATTTAGTGAAAACCTATATACCGGTATTTATAAATATTCAATAAAATATTAATTATAACTCAACAAAACAAACGGTTCCAAAAGTTTATTGTTTAAGTTAGACTAATATATGAAATTAGTTCATTAAAAAAAAAAAGCATAAAAAAAAATTATTTATTATTGAAATAGGCCCGCAAAAAACATAAATTATTTAAAATTTCTTCATTTAAAGATGATCAAATTTTCGTTCAAAACATTCGTAATAAAGAGAATGCTCGTTCAGTTTCTACGCTTGTTGGGGAAATAGTTAAAGTATAATCGTATACCAACTTCAAGATGGTACCACGTTTACCCACTTCCTTAAATCCAAAAATTTCTTTTCGTACCATTTAAGTCAAATCGTTAATATTTAGTTTTGTTTTTGGTACTATTTTTATCATGATTTTTTAATCGCTATGTCCAGCTGCTTCTGTAATGCCAAGCTCAAAGGTTCGTCTTTGCACATTATGGTATTTTCGTTGTAGTATGTTTTGAATGGCAATGCTGTAGTTTCCGCTTGGAAGGGTGAGAGCCGCTGGATAAGATGGATGATTAAAATTACAAAAGCAGTTTTAGTTTGCACATCAAATAGATATTTGAACCAAAATTATTTTGGGTTTGATCACCTTTATAAAGAAATTGTATGAGATAAGATAAATTTGTGCGCCTTTCTTTTATTCTTTTAAATAAGGAGGCCTTTATATTGTTATTTAATCATCCTTCGACCAAATTTTGCAGCATAAATGCCAAGGTAGTATCAGCTGATAGAAGATTAGCATCTCTCCAATATAAAGCCTCTACAGCCAATTTCACTGGTAGCAATATAAAAACTGTTGATAATATCGGTTCTAATTCAGATTCCGTAAAGATAATAGATAAATTTAAGTCAATCAGGGGTTTTTGAATGGAATTTTTAATTTATAAAAATGCTTTAGCATAAAAAGTAAGCTGTTCTATCTGGTTTTATTCTCTAATATTACTGACAGTTCTTTACCATGTTCAGTGTTGACATAAACTTGAATGATTTCATTTTTTGTCGGTTATCGTCTGAACAGCTTTACAACTTTTCTAACTTTGCTTATCAATAGAGCCAAATTATTTGCAAGTTCATTTGGTGAGTTCTGAAAAATCCTTAATCCGTCTAAATGGTCTTCATTACATTCATCTGAAATCTCACCAGCACTATCTTCATCATATTTAAAATATTTATCTGTCTGATGAGTTGCATATTTAAAATCAAATTGAAAAATACTATAAAAAAAGATAACTGTTTGCTTAGCACCAGAAAAAAAATTTTTTTTGTTAGTCTGATGTTATTTTTATATAGTTGTTAAATTCATTTTTATTGAATAACTAACAACTGATTAAAAGCATAAACTAGTTAAAAGAATGTTAATTCTTTCTTGACTAATTTTTCTCTAATTTTATGCAGCTATTTGTTTTCTTTGAAATTAAGTAATCCAATATGATGTGGTCCGATAGTATTTGGTACTTTTTCCAAGAAGATTCAAAAAACTCTTTTGTTGAAATCTTCTTTTTTTTCGCACATTTAATATATGTAGGCTTCTGAGTCAGATGTCTACATTTATTACTTCTAATCTGTGTGTCAGAAGTTCTGAAAAACAACTTAGTAAGTAACAATTTAGCAATTACACTTCGCTCTACCAAACAAAATTCCAAGTTTAGCCACAAATTTTTTTTTAATTCTTTATACTTGCTTTTATAGAGGCGACCAGATTGGCTAGATTCTAATCATCTCTCAATATTGCAGAGATATAATGTTCTTTATGTGTTTGAGGATACACATGAAGGGTTCGCATGGATCCACTTATTAATAAACTTTGAGAAAACATCGTTGAAATATATTTTTAGATAATTACATAATTTTTTATATTTTGGTTTTTTTTTAATGACAGGCCAATCTAAGAAGATCTCTTTGCGTTGGTATCTCTGATACAATCATATCTTTTCAAGGATATATTCGATATATTCCGAAAGGTTTGATTCGCTTGTTTTCTTTGCTTTTGACGAAATCGACTCTTCTGTGATTAAATATTAAATTTTGTAATTTGTAAATCTTTTGCGTAAACGTTGTTTTTTGAAATAAGATTTTTTAAATATTATTTCAAAAATTTTATTTCAAAATTTTTTTGAAATATCGATATTGTAATACTTTTAGAATACCCAACTTGTGTAGATTCTAAATTGTAATATATACAGTAAAAGTAAAAATAATAGAGTCTTATTTTAAGATAATGGTTGTTTCTAGTCTAGATGGTTATCGGTCAGTTGAACATTTTGCCTTTATTTAGGCAACTTAATATCAAGTTATCTGGTGAAAAAGCTCACCAGATAACTTGATCAAAGTTATCTTGGAAAAAGTATACATATACTGATTTGCCTTATAGCATAATATATAAATTATTAGTTTGACAATTTGATAAATTGTTTATCATTTTTATATAACATAGAGTTTAATGTGAGTTGGTGTAAAGAAATGCTTGCATGAAAAATATGCGTGGACAAACCGTGATTAGAGTAAATAATTAATTACAAAAAAATTTCCGTAAGTATGTAATGTTCAAACTTTACGGTAACTTAAAATAAGTTATTTTTTTTATAAGTTTAAAATATTTGTACACGCATTTTCTATATACCGGGTTTTTTTAAAATAACTTATAAAAAATCAAATAGTATAGCACACCTTAATACATACCCAATACGCCATAAATACAAAATTACATTAATACTAAGCACTGCAAAACTCACTACAGTAAAAGAAACTGGTATGAGGTCAAAAGCTAATGAAAAGATGTTAAAAAATTGTAACAAAATGTTCCCCAAAATTTACAATAATTCAAAATGTCACTAAACCATATCTTTTATAAATTGAAGTTACTTTTTTTTTTTGATAAGTTATTATGGTGCTCCAAAAATTAGGTCTTAATACAAAACACCGCGGAAATGAATTTAAACAGGGGGTTCGCATCTTCTTCTTTACCAATGTCACTTATATATCCAGAGCCTTGTTTAACATATCCAGCTTTACAAAACTCTATAAAACCTAGTTATTAATATTCAACTCAAATAAACTAAAAAATATCTATAAATTTTCTTACCTTATCTATGTCAATTGTAATATAAGCCATGTCAATGTTGTTTCGTGACTGCCAAGAGGTGTATAAGTCTCCATCTAACATTAACGACGGAGGTCTTGCATAAAGAGGGTTGACGGAATCACATAAAGAAAGTTGCCTTTCACGCGGCGATATATAACCTTCTGTAGTGTTAAAGTATTGTTCTGCAGGAGAACCACAAGTCACATTTGCACGTATTTTCTGCTTAAAAAATGCATTAAAACCAAAAGCTCTAGAGTCTGCTTTGCTTCTACCAAAATAATTTACTAATATGTGAGAAACTAAGATCAAACGTATATTAATCATTCCAGTCGAGGAATGTTGAAAATAATTGTTTGTTGGTTGTTTTCAATCGCTCTAATGTAAACGCACTTATTTGAATTATTTTTTAAATTTTATTTAACATTTCATCTTAATTTAAATATCAATTTCAAATAGTTTTAAATAGTATTTTATATTTTTTTCCTTTGGTTTATTTACTTGAAAAATATAAAATAAAAACTTTCCAAATAATAGCTGCTGTTAAAATCAAGCATGCACAATCGTGAGACGCTTATGCACGGATGTTTATGTTGAATGGGTGTTTCAAAAGTGCCAATAAATTTTTTAATGCGCTATATACACTAAAAAATACGACGCTCAAGCGCATTTTTGTGCTTACATGTGCAAATAAGTATTTTAATAATATTAAAATATGAAATAAGATTTATATTGTTTCTACTATTTTTTTGTTTTTACAGATTATATACAGTTTTACGAAACAATAAAAATTATATTCTATTAAAAATTTATCTAACTAAAGACCTTTAACACTGTGTTTTTGCGATTTTTACGACTGAAGTAAAAACAAACATGGCGGTTAGAAATGATTGAAATAGCGAAATAATTATGTTTAAAAAAACTTCTTTTAAAACTATTATTTGCAAAAATCAAAACTTTATTATTATCCAAAACAAAATATTATTTCCTTTTTTTATTTTATGTTTTATTTGCTCTTTAAACCTAAAAATGCAATAATATTTTGAAATAAAAATAAATACAAATACGCGCATTTCAGGATAGCCAGCGTCAAGGATCAAATGAAATAATTTTTATTTTTATTTTTGGTGTTGTTTAAGATGCTTCAAGAAGTCCTTTTGGCCTTATTACAGAACGAAAAAGCATTTAACTTGAAAGTTTAAGCTGGCGTCGAACCCAGGGCCATCCCGAAGAGGTCTTCCATGGTGTAAGTATTTTTTTTCCAACTAGAGAAACCAAAAAAAAAAAAAGGTCCTCAATATTTGCAATGTGCTAACTCAAATGTTTATATGACAGCATTATGAAAGGGTGGGGGAGGGAGAGACACCCCTACAATCAGGGCCGTCCCGAAGGAGAGATGGCCCTGATCGTAGGGGTATTTCCCCTAAGGGATGATATGTAGAAGGTAATATTGAATTGGAAAGAGCATAAAAAAGGACAGAAAATTAATTTTTTTAAGCATAATTTACAAGATTTGGGTCCTTCGAAACCAATCAGACACTCACAATTTCTACATGGATTTAATACATGGATTTAATTTAATTTGTCTTTAATAGATTTCTTGAACGAGTAATCTTGCAACTATCTCTAAAGTTATCAAATGGAAACAATATATTAAGTAATTATGTTTTAAAAAATAAAAATAAAAATTTTTCATGTAAACTTAGTTTGACTCAACTGGTTACTTGAAGGTATGAACATGGTAATAGTGAAAAAATAATTATTTTCCTGGTACAAGGAAATAATATTTTTGTCAAATTAATTCTATTTTTCAAAAATAAATAGCCAAATAATAAAAAAAAAAAGCTATAAAGATATATATATATATATATATATATATATATATATATATATATATATATATATATATATATATATATATATATATATATATACAGAGAATAAAATGAGGGGGGGGGGGGGGAGATCAATACTCAAAAAGTACCATCTAGTTTCTATAAAGAAAAAAAAAAATTAAAAACGAAAATTTAATCGACTGAATTGTGTCAAATAGCCAACTAAATTCGTAAAAAAACCGACTATAACTTGAAAATCGCCTTCTTTAACCCCCCCCCCCACTCCCACACACACTCACACCCATAAAATCTATATATATATATATATATATATATATATATATATATATATATATATATATATATATATATATATATATATATATATATATATATATATATATATATATATATATATATATATATATATATATATATATATATATATATATATATATATATATATATATATATATATATATATATATATATATATATATATATATATATATTTTTTTTTTTTTTTTTTTTTTTTTTTTTATTCAACACTGTGTTTCATCAATAAAGACTCGTCAGAGAAAAAAAAAAAAAAAAAAAAAAAAATATATATATATATATATTTTTTTTCAACTTTAAGTTTCATTCTACTGCAACCATTCAGTGAAATACGAAAAATATACCGCAAATTTATAGACATTTCTCGCAGGAATATGCGTTGATTAAATATTTCAAAAATATGGTAAGAGGAACTTTAAGAATTTATTTCAATCAGTATTATAATATAATATAATAATTGATGTACAAACTATTTAAGTTTGGTGAGTCAAAACTACGTAGTCCATTGACTGTAACAGCCGTTAAATGTAAAATTTTAAAAATAGAATAAAAAGTTCCTAAATAAAATTTGGTATCAAAAGTTCAAAATTTTGTCTATTCTATTTTTGAACGTGTTTTTGTTTGCAGAATCGATTGCATCTTGTGACAATAAATTCCAATCGTCGACCATTCTATTTGTTAAATAATAATACCTGGATGATATTTTAGTATATTGTCGATGTCTTTTATTATGACGATATCTGGACATGTTGCTGTAAAATTTTAAAGGAACTTCAAACCTTATATATTCAGTTGAATTTAATACTTTAAACATTTCTATTAAATCGCCCCTTCTTCTCCTTTCTTGTAAGGATCGTAAACCTAATATTTTTTTCCTTTCTTCATAGCAGATGCCTTTCCGTGATTCAACCCTAGTCAATCTACGCTGTATCTTTTCGAGTCTCTTAATGTCTTTAATACAATATAGGCTCCATACAGATGCTGCATATTCAAGCTGTGACTTAATGGTTGACTTGTATAACAGCTTTAAAATGGTAACATCAAGATATTTAAATCCATGTTTTAAAAAACCCAGTGTTCTATTTGCCTTATTTGCTATACTTATAATATGATTTTCCCATTTGAGGTTATTTGATAATATTACACCTAAATCTCTTTCAACTTCTGTTTTTTGCAAAATATGATCTCCTAATTTGTAACTAAACTGAGGATTCAAATTACCAATGTACATTGTTTTACACTTTTCTCCATTGAATTTAATTGACCACTTATTTGACCAGTCTAATAACTTATTTAAATCTTCTTGATGAGCACTGCTGTTACTTAAATTATTAATTACTGACATTATTTTTGCATCATTTGCAAATAATTCTAATTTATTTAGTATGTTAACTATCAAGTCATTTATAGATATTATAAACAGAAGTGAACCGAGGACTGAACCCTGGGGAACTCCACTTGTGACTTCCTGCCAATCTGAAACAAAATCATCCTTAAGATTCTTTCCATACACATGTATATTGAGTTTCTTCTGGTCTGATGAGGCTGGATATTCTGTAGCTTGCATTTTTTTCAACAGTTTTTGCTGTTAAGTATGATTGAGCTGGCTTGTTCCACATTGCTTAGATTACCCAAAAAAAACTTGTGATAACGGTTTGTGTGTGTCATTGTTCTTTTCTTCCGAGGCAGCATCATTGGTGGCAACTAAATTTATCAAATGACATGCAAATTTTTGATGTGGAGGAAGCTGGTACTCAAGATTGTTATCCTTTTTTAGGATATCAAATGCGTTTCAAGGTATTCAAATTTAGACTCTTAGCAAGAATCTTGTTCTGATTCCAAACCTTCTACCTGTGCTCAGTTTTATTTGCCAAATCATTAAACACCTTGATAAAGTTTGAGCCGTTGTCTATTGTTCCAGTAAATACACAAACGCCTATTAAATGTCGAAACAACTTTTTGACAAAACGTTCAGATTTGGTCGATTATCCGTTTAGAATGAAATCTAGATTAACGTTTAGAACAAACGTCTATAAAACGTCTATATTCAAACGTATTTTAAACGTCTATTATAGGATTATTATACGTATGTAAAGCGTTTAGATTTTGCCTAATTTAAGTTAAAATCTAGTCTAATTAACGTATATAAAGCGTTTAGATTTAGTCTAAGTAAACGTATAATAAAGTTTTAGATCTTGTCTAATAGTTTCTTTGATTTAGTTAACGTAATTTCAGTTTAATTAAGTTTTAAAATATAATATAAATTTTAATATAAGTTAAAACTACGTCATAACTTTTTAACTTTATATAAGTAATAAGAGCTATATAGGTCTTATTTTTTATATTTTTCATAACTATTATAATATGTTTATAAACTTTTATACAAAACTACTTATACTTTACTTTTATTTTATAAAACTATAAGTTATAAACTTATATAAAACGTTTTCGCATAGTAGGGGTTAAGAGAAAAATAGCAAGAGAATAATAGCAATTTCTATCAAATATTTTTTAAACTTCATCTCATTAGCAGAAAATAAAAGTTTACATTAAGATTAAGTCAAAGATTACGTTGTAATCTTCGACTTAATCTTAATGTAAATGTTGTAAATACTATAAATGTTTGCGTTTAATTAAGGTTGATTAAAGGTTTACAGTATTGACTAATTTAAGTCGATATTCTAAACGTTAGATCAACGTTTAGTAAACGTATATAAAAAAGTTTGAAATATACATTGCAAATCAAGCGTCGATTTTTAGTCAATAATAGGTCGCTAATTGTTTTATTCATTTTTCGACCGATTTTGACTAAATATTGACTAATTCTGAACCAATCTGTGTTTACTGAGGTGGTTCTTACCACCTTTCTTTTAAATCTTTATTAGAATGTATGCTATTGGAGTGCCGACTAGGACATCAAAGGTGTTTGACCATTTCAATCTAAAGTAACATAACTCACTTTACTGAAGTGCATGAGGTGAGTTAACATTCGTTGTTAAAAGCTTTTTTTACAGGTATTACATTTTGTTCTTACAGCAGATATAAGTAGCTACAGGGTCCTGGAGTTGTTTACAACAATTGTGCAAATCAACTAAGGACAAAAAAATATTATCACTTTTATATACATTTTACACGTATATATATATATACATATATATATATATATATATATATATAATATATATATATATATATATATATATATATATATATATATATATATATATATATATATATATATTTAACACTGTGTTTCATCAATAAAGACTCATCAGAAAATTTTTTTCTAATGAGTC